ATAAAAATAAAATGAGCAATCTCAGAAGCAAGAACAGGGATCTCATGATCATCAAAAAAGAAGAGCCAAGAACAGAGCATGTCCTTTGGACTCCAAGATCACAGCACAGAACCTCTTCGATCTACAAGACAAAGAGCTGTGACATCAAAGAAGCAAATGTGGAAGTGGAGGAGAGAGAGGCAGGTGGCAGCAGCAGAGGCAGCAGAACCAAGAGCATGAGGCAGAGCAGAACTACGGAGTTCCCGGCCATGGAGCAAGTAAAGCTGAGGTACCTTCGCACAGGAGGCTCACTTGTGCAGTAAGGTGCTTCTAGGCACTTAAAGCTCGGTTTGCTGACTAATGGAGCTAAAGCTGAGAGTTTTAGAGCTATGGCTTATGGCAGAGTGGGGTACTCGTCAGCATTTATTGGCAGTGTTAAAGTATCTTTGTGACACTGCTGAGTAAGGCAGGGGCCAAGGAGTCTTTGGTTGAGAGAGGCAGGCTGTAGTACTGTGAATTTACTGGACATGACAGCTTTTCTATTCAACATCTTCTTAATTTCCACCAAGTGATTGCGTGGAACCATGCAAATAAGAGTGTACAGTTTGTTACCTAGCTAAATTTAAAAGGAACCATCTTAGAAGTGGAAATAGACAATCCCAGGACCATCAAGGACAATGAGATCCCTATCCAGCAAAGTAGCAACAGCAGAGAGGATGGCAGTAGCCTGGAAAGACAGAGTAGCTGCTGGCTCTAGACCCATAAACTGAATAGAGCTGAGTGTGAATGGGCTGCAGAATGTGCCTTTAGGGCACTCACAGACTGGCTAAAAGAGCTTTGCAATACTTTCCCCAGCAGAGCAAGGTAAGGGGGCAACATGGCTGAGAGGCTGAAGACAAGAGTGAGGCGTGCCTACCGTAGAGCAGACAAGAGGGGTTCCTAACTGGAGAACTGCTGTGTCTTGAGTTTTTCTGATCTTGAATTGTACCCTGTTCACTTCCCTAACCCCATAATTATAAGTTCTGTGTGGCCAACACAATGGATTACTGAACCCAAATGTGAAGCAGAGTGCTGTGGGAGGGATGGTTGGTATCAGAATAGGGTAAAGAAGGCTGTAGGGTAGAAGCATGTCTGATCTCTGCTTCATAGGAATTGGCCTTAGGAGGGCTGTGAGTTTGATTCTTTCCCCCTTGTCAAGTCAGAGGAAGTCAGACATGGTCCCCAAAAGGTTTTTTCACGTGCCTGATACACGACTGAAAAAAGGCTGTCCTGACCAAAAAAGAACTGCATCCTGAACATTTCTGATGCTGAATTGTAACCTGATAACTTCCTTGGTAAATCCCATTGTCTTGAGTATCCTCTCTGAGTTGTGTGGCGTCTGCAATGAATTATGGAATCTAGCAGAGAAGAAGAGTGCCGTGGGAAGGACGGTTGGTGTCAGATTGGAGAACAGATTGGAGGGTGGAGCCATGTATAACCGCTGCCTCACAGGAATTGGCAGATGTTGAATTTTATTCTCCTTTCCCACATAATACCATCATGCCACTGTTACATCTAGAAATTCAATTTTTGATTTTACAAATGAGACTTAGTGAAGACTTCTTTGAAAGGGCATAGTTTCTTAAACAAAAGTCTTTAAGCCATTAGTCCAGAAGAGTACATTAAGCTTCAAAATCAGATACTTGGATTTAGTTTAGAAAATGAGGACAGGAACTCTAGAGACAGTAAACTTAATAATAATGAGTGAAGAGGAGAAGGCCTTTGAGGCCAACTTGTCTTATTCTTCACTTAATGGATGAATCTCTCTTTTGAATCTTTTATTGTGAATAAGTGAAGGTTTACAGAGCAGATCATCAGCTTTACATTCAACAAATCATATACTTTACTTTCCTTTAATGACTACAATCCCCTCCATGTGCCATCAGTTAACAGAATTCACCTCTTCACTTCAACGTTGCATTCCTTTTGCATTCTTCCATGTCTCCCACTACCACCATCCTTCCTCTGCCAAGCTACCTCTTGTTGTACACTGTCTGTTTCACCCCCATGTTAGCATGTGTCTACCCTTTGGCCCATGAATACTACTTCCCCTGTAACCATCATAGAATACTTTTTGAAAATCAAGAAAACATTTTCTAAACTTTTGACAACAGTGGTCTCATACAATATTTATCGTTTTGTGATTGACTAATTAGCACTCAGCATACTGTTCTCCAGGACCATTCAAGTTATGCGATGTTTTGCAGATTCATCATTATATTTCAACAGCCATGATTCTCTTACACAACGCACTGCTTTACAAGAGTCTATTTAAATGCCTCCAATGATTTGTTTATTTCAAATAACTTCTTTAGACAGCATAACAGATGAGTAGACACATGGAACACATAGAAATCAAACTGACTACATCTGTGGAAAGGGAAGATGGAAAAGATCCATATCATCAGTGAAAACAAGGGGCAGACCGTGCAACAGAC